AAGAAACATGTTTCGAACGGCAACCAAGGTGTGCACGGAAAGAGAGCAGAGAGAGGAGTCCCGGAACTTGGCACGGCAAATAGCCGTTTCTAATGGCTACGGAACTGTAGCTCAGGATAGGTGTAGAGGAAATCGTAGGCCTCCAAACGACAACTCTAGCGATAGAAGGGTCCCGTTTATCCTACACTTCATCTCAAATGATATAAGTACAGCTATAAAACGCTGCTTAAGAAGGGCGGGCTTAGAGAATTCGGTGAGCGTATTTGAAATACCACCGAGTAATCTTAAGCGCCAGCTAGTTCGTAACCGCCTATATGACCGTCTATGTGCAACTCAAAATTGCATAATTTGCCCCAGTGGTAGAGACGGTGATTGCATGAGCTCGGGTATAGTTTATCTGATCTCCTGTAAGACGTGTGGTGACGAATACATTGGCGAAACGGGTAGACCCCTCTGTGTCCGCATGAAAGAACACCTAGCCGGCAAAAATAGACCAAATACCCCGCTAGGCAGGCATAGGACCCAGAGACATAACGGGGACGACTTCGAAGTATGTGTCACGATCCTCGCACGCGAATCAAGAACACAGGCGCGAAAAACTCTCGAGGCACTCTGGATTAATTCCATTAATCCGAAAATGAACCGCAGGGAAGAATGCCTCATTATCACGCGTGATATAGGGTAGTATAATAAACTGCTTTTCTGATGTGAGGGGTACATTATACTTCCACGTGATTTCTGTGCGGTTGGTCTCTACGTGACATACTTAGTGGAAACTTCATAGAAAGCGGTGAGTGTGCAAAGCTGTGTTCAGAGTGATTGAAATCTTGGTTTGGAGTTTCTTTGTTTGGTTATGGAGGCGTCTGGCCGAGTGAGTTGCTATCAACTTGTCCTTTCCAGGCTCTGAAGAAGGCGAAATCCGCCGAAACGTCAGCTTAATCGTGAATAAAAAACAAAAGATAAAAAAAATAAAAAACAAAGAATAGTAACACCTCGCGTTTGCTCAACAAAAATACGAAGCATTTTATACAGTGCATATTTATGATTAGTTCAGGCCAAAATAAATTCCGTCCTCGTATCTTCTTTCCCATGAGTTTCGCATCTATTGTATTTCACTCCTTTACTATATACTCTTACGTTTCTGTTTTGCGCTTCATTGAACCGTTTGAGATAATTTACAAGAGATTTGAGCCAGTTGGCCTTCTGTTCAGTTGTACTTTCAAAAAATATGACGACGTTGTTCGCAAAACGGATTTTCACTGGGAATTTTTTATCGATGCATATGAGCTTTTCATCCTAGTCAGGCGGCTTGTCGATTGCATTTCTATGATGAACAATTTTTCGAGATGGGTATCCCCTCAGCCACTGAGATTGTAAGGTTTTGATTGCAAAACTGTATTCTTTTAGTCTAGTTGCTGTAGCAGTCAGTTATGGTCCTTATGTAGGATCAGTTTACTTCGTAGTCTATGAGCGCTAAAAACATGACATTCGTTTTGCAGCAAAAACACATTTCTGTTGCAATTTTTTTCGTAGTCGATAAAGGTTAAGACAGAGGTCCTGTATTTCCGAGAAGCTTAAATGGTCTTAAGTGCTGTTCGGGAGTTTTTCCCATGGAGGACATTCCTAGCCAAGATACCGTTTGCCTGTCGTACCGACTTTGAAGAGCTGAAGTGTTCTCAGATTGGTACCGTGAAAAGTCGCCGCTCGTCGTAGATCAGAAGGAGATTCGTTAACTTACGACTGGCTGGTTCAGTTGGCTAGCAGGGCATCTGTGATTTACTTTATCAATTCACTCTTAACTGATTGCCGGAAGGATGTTTAGGATTTCTTCTGTTTGAGAGACAGCGGTAGGAGACAAGCTACTCGATGTATATCACATCTCGGTACTCATGAACAGTTTCAAGCCATGATTAGGCAGTAGACTGTATATCTGATTTGTTCGTATAGAAATCACTTGTTGAATTTTTAGGCGAAATGTTTGACCTTTCACGGACGTCGTCTAATCAGTCACTTGCTTCGACAACAATGTCATGTAGCGGTTATGAGGTAATTTTTACCGTGGAACTACGTCTGGTGGTGAAACTTTTGAAGAAATTAGTACTGATGGAACGGCGGGATGTAAAGATTATCCCTACTGAGACGATTCTTAGCAGGAAGAGGAAAGCGTCTGCCTAAGAAACGCTTCATAACAAATACTAGCTTAAGAGGAGGTAAACACAGTATTTTGATTTATTCACATGTGTTCCGAAAAGTTTTCGATTTTCCCGACATCCAATATATTCCAGTGAATATTGAATTCATTTGACTTGAAGAATGTGAGTGAAAATATGGCATCTGTCTTTTATCAGAGTTGCTGTCTTGACGAGGTCCCGTCTTGTGTACTCGAGCGAATCTTGTCATATCTTCCAGTTAACGACACCATATGCATGGAGCGGGTTAACAAACGTTATATGGAAGCGTCGATGAAGGTTGTGTTTCAGTTCGTTTAGAGTTTCCTACACAGCTTAGTTTTTATTTCTATTTAGGTAATAAGAGGCACCGACGGCTCAATGTTTAATTTTTCATATGATTTGTTTGTTGGAAATTTCTTCTACTATTAGCAAGCTGCCGTAAGACACCATTGATAACTAACGTGTAATGATAAAGAAGCAATTGTAGTGGAATTTTAAAAGAGGGAAATCAGGCTTTAGAAAATATAACTGATGTTAATGGGCTTAGAGTCAATTGCAGTCATGGTCATTGGTTCCCCGTCTTGTCCTGGCTCGTGATTGTGAGGGTTTCGGAAAAAAGAAGCCATTTCGGAATAACCACTTGAAAGTGAGTTTACGATCTAATTTTTTCGAAATCGTTGTTGTCATGGTCAAAGTGTAAACGAGTAGTAGTTATGAGCAATTCACACAATTGAATGTGCGTAGATATTTTTCACGCCTCTAGTCAACAGGTAAGGCAAACAAAAAGCTATATAGAAACAATTATCCTAGAAGATAGAGCGTATTAATTATTTGGAATTGATGCAAAGTCTACTGAAGCGAATCCGTAATAGTATTAGCGACTTTCTCGAAGTTTTACAAGTGCTTTATCTGTAACTGTTTCTCGATATTTGCTGTGTTTACTACCTCCTCATTGGTTTCCTGTTAATGAGTCACTTTCTTTGTCACTCCTGTGTTGTTGAACTCGTGGTTGACTGATGAAAAGCAGGGAATCATATTTTCACCGAGTGTTTTCGTGGGAAGGTCTGGCAATGGCGTCTATGGCATCTATGGCTTTCTTTTTGCTCTCGTTTCCTTGTACAGCTTTGGAGTTAAGTCATTCATTTCGGGACAGAAGTTGAAAATTCCCATCACAGACGCGCACAGCTGGAGCATTTGGAGATATCCGTTCCATTCACCGTTAATTGAAGTCAGAAGCGAATCTTTTTTTCTTGAGCAGTGTTTTCTTCAGGGTAAACAGAGGAGAAGCGGTTTTTCCCCATAAGTTTGAATTGTTCGTTCTTGTGAACCGACTTCGATTTAACCTCGTTACCAATGATCGATGAAATAAGGCACATTGCTCATTCATTATTTATAGTGTCGGACAAATGTTAGGTATCATGAAGGTGATGTCATTCGCAAGGCGAAGTGGTGTAGGTGTCACGATCGACTTTGTATTGTTACTCCATTTCAGTTTTCATATTATGACAAATGAAATCCATGACTCTATCTGATTTTCTTCGGGCGTACTTACAGTTTAGCAGTTGGAGTTAGCAGAATGGCTGGCTTTTGTACAAGTTCCAAGTCTATACATCAGCTTCTTCGGAAATTAATGTTAGATTTGAGCGTATAAAGAATGCAGTGTATCTTTAACGTGACATATCTTAGTTGAGGATAAACTTAATTAATCGAAATAAAAACCATTCGAATTTGCACATTTTTGCGATTTCTCGTAGAGGAAATCGTTGTGTCAGTAGGGAGAATGGTATTCGTAGACGAGAAATCTGGCGTGTTTGGTAGATAGCTTTTTCTTCATAGCTCAATTCGTTCAATTTTAGCGGCTTCGGCAGTGTGACCTGTTGAAGCGCGTAATCATCATGGAGAAGGATTGGTCACTTTCTGTTGGTCAGTATCGGACACAGCCACTGAAATTTTTGGTCCACTTCGTCGATTTTCTGATCGTACTTGTCCGTAAAGGTTTTCATCCAGATTCTTGAAGTTCTGAAGGATCAGATCAGCTGCAGACTACCAAATGATCACCATGACTTCCTTTCGATGAAATTTCGGCATTTGAGAGATACTGCATAGCTTCATCGCGATCAATCCATTCAGCCTATCATCGCCTGATGTAGGAGACAATGCAGTTCTTGTCGCACGCTGTAATAAGGTAGAAGCGGCTCGCTCTGTTTGAGCAGAAGCGCCGACGATACCTCAGAATGGCAATTTCCTTCATTGTGTGTGATTCTCTTCGTGTGGCACTCATTTGTCAAGCTTCTTCGACATTCTACTTGTCCTTAGCTGCTTGGAAACAGTCGAGGTGCTTACACCGAGCTCTTCTGGAACTTATCGGACAGCTGTGCTTGATTTCACCAAAGCCTTCAAGTCATCATCTTAAATAACAAAAGAACGTGTGCAGTTCCCAAAATCGACTTTCTATTAACATCGGCATTGGATTATAAATCTGTTGTTCTCTTTTTACAGCAATCGCGATGTTGTTATTCAGCACACGTTTACTTCTTCACAAATATAACACATACAACACAACGGTAGCTGACGTGTAGGCGGTATCGTCTTCTTCTGAGCCTGGAAAGGTACACTAGTATGTAATTTACTAGGTCAAACGCTTCAACAACGCGAATTGAAAGATGAAAATCTGTGCAATAATTACACGATCATCGGCTTCTCGAAAAAGCAACCGTTTTTTACCTGCCTTCCACCGAGGAAGAACAGCCACTTAGAGTCGCATATGGTTGACTGCTGCTCCACTCCACATCAAAAATCGGTTCTGAGATACGGGGCTAGATCACGCGTGACCTCAGGGCATTCCTACCTGCTATTCATTTTCAGATTATTGGAATTTATCCAAAAAGCCTCGAGAAATTCCCGCGTTGGTGTTTTAGTCTCCCATGCGCTTATAGCGACTTTTACATCAAAATCTTCTCCGCTCTCCCGCTTCTCCGCTATGTTTTTGTATCCTGTGTGTGCGTAGTGGCATACCTTGTCTTGATTTTCGTTTGCCATCTAGTGTTCTTTTATGCGAATACATAAAAGTTTGTCTGTTTCGCTGATGTAATCGTCTCGGCAAGTACTACAAGAATTCAGGTATATCGTACCTGAACTCATGCAGTCACCGTCTCTGCCGTAAAGGCAAATTATGGAATTTGGTGTTTCACATAGACGGTCATACAGGCGGTTACGAACTAACTGACGGCGCAGAGTATCCGGTGGTACTTCAACTATCGCTACCGATTCTCCTAGATCTGCCCTTCTTAAGCATCTCTTTATCGCTGCACTTATTTCATTGCTGATGAAGGGCAAGATAAACGGGACTTTCTTCTGGCCAAGTGTTTCGCTTGGGCGCGTCGCTCTCCTTCTAAACTTATCTCGTTGCGTTACTATTTCGCAGCCATTGGAGATGGCTATTTGCCGAGCCAAGTCGCGCGATTCTTCCTTTAGTTCTCTGGTTGTGCACACAGAGGTTTCTGTTCGAAACATGTTTTTCACAATCGCCTTCTTTGTGTGTGAATGATGGGAAAAGTGGAAATGAACCAGGATGCTTTTGTTGCTGGGTTTTCGGGACCATTTCGTGATATAGCCGTTTCGGATAGGTTTATTTGAACGTTTAAAAACAGAAGCCAGTTTTTTCTCGGTTTCTCCCGGGTGAACTTTATGTACTCAAACTGCTCTTTCAATAATTCAAAGCATTTGTCCGTCTCCTCCTGCGTAGAGAAGACAACAAAACGGTCATCTACATATCTGCAGTAGAGTAATGGCTGGAGATCGACCTACTGATTGTTTAGTTTTCGGTATTGACTTTTGTATTCGCTTTAAGACGATGGGCGGTAAAGGGCAACATCACTTGCAGAGTTTGCAGTTATTCCCTGCCAGCTAGATGTTAAGATAACTGAAGAACATCTTAGTGATGTTACCCTTTACCGCCCATTATCTTAAAGCGAATACAAAAGTCACCGAAAACTAAACAATCAGTGGGTCAAAGTGGCAAAGGCGGTAGGCTTAAAATCGTCGGTTATTTCGCACTGTAAATTCAATAGACCAACATGCCCCGTCTTATACTTAGTTATTAAAACACATAAGTTGGTATCACCTGATGATTTTGCGTCAACCAATCCGTCATCATTTAAGGATAGACCGATCATCAGTTGTGTAGGCGGGCCAACGGATAGAATAACCTGGTTTTTAAGCCTGATACTTACCCAGTTGCTTAACCACATTCCTGCTCACCTCACGAACACCCAAATATTCCTAGAACGTCTACGTAACGCGTCTCCTAATAACGCGTACGTGATGGAGTCCTTAAACGTTAACTCACTGTACACCAACGTATTGATTGATTCTGCAAAGCAAGCCATCTTCTAACCTTTTGTTGAACATGAAGGGAGAATAAATATGCATGTTTTGTCCATCCAGCAGCTTATGGCTGTCTTAAAGGAGTGCTTAAACCGCTCGATTTTCAGATGATCTGGGAAATATTTCGCGCAAGCAAAAGGGTTGGCAATGGGACAGCGATTGGCACCAAGCCTTGTCATTGTGTTTATGTCTAAGAAGAAGCCACTGTTCTCGATCTCCAGCCATTACTCTAAGAAGGCGATACCGCCGACACGTCAGCTACCGTTGTGTTGTATGTGTTATATTTGTGAGGAACTAAACGTGTGCTGAATGACAACCTCGCGATTGCTGTAAAAAAAAAGAACAACGGGACTTGCCCAATTTCTCTCAACTTAAGGTCGAATTCTCCACTACGAATTTTTCTAAACCATTTTTGCGCTAGTTAATACTTCTGTGGCTCCAATGACTCATTAATCTTCCGACCGGTTTACGCTGCAATTTGTCCGAATTTGAATTCACAGTAGGAGATTTGTCAAAATCGCAGGTTTTCTCAAAAACGCAATTTTTATTGTAATTCAACTAAGCGGAACGAAACTGCGTAATACGAGCTTTGCAATGGTTTGTAATACTACGGCATTCAAAAAAAAACATGACAGGAAATTTGCAAGAAGAATTAAATTAAAAATCGGGTATTTCCGAGCAGTTCAGTAAAAAGTTGGTGAAATTGTTGGTTCACGAACTCGTTCGAGAAAATTTTTTTTATATTTCTGCGTGCAGGATGGACGTTTTCCAAGCCGATGCCTGGTATTACATCCATGCTGTATAAAAGATAAGGGATTAAGCTCTCGGCGTTGATCAATCTCTGAGAGATGCTACATGCATTCGACTTCATTAACCATCGTTTGGGGGTGATTGAATGCATATCTGGCCTTTACAACGACTCGCGGTAGCCTACCGATGTATCGAGCCAATGCTGTTATCCTCCTAGACAACTCTGGTACCAATTTGCCGACCGCGGGGGGATGGAAGGCTAGGTGTGCCATGGGCTCGAAGATCTCTTCCACGTGTGTGTTACAGGGTGTCTCCGACCACTGCGCCCTCTATCCATGTTGTATAAGTTATAAATCGGTTACAAATGTAGGGAAAGTGTTCTATGCGCCAAAATAATCCAATCAAAAGGATAATATCTCATACAGGTCTCACACCGGCCATTTGGGGCTCTCTGTGTAATTGTGTAGAACGAGCACCGTTCGTTATATGTTAATCTCGTCGCCGGCACTGTTCATGCTCGCCTCAACGAGTTTCCTAAATCAAGGAGTCCGGAAGTGTGGCTAAGGGCAAATTTCTCCCCATAAAAGAGTCAGGTTAGCTACCTGTACTCAATTTCTCGTCAAAGATAGTGAAAATAAAAGACTTCACAATGTATAACTTTTATCTTCCGCCTATTATTTCTTCACGGCAGGGTATTATGCGAAACATTTGATGATGCTAAAAGATTTACAAAACTTAGATCCCAAGCCAGAGCGGACCGCGTTTAGCTTTTCCGGGGGCTGCCGTGTTACGAACAGCACCACTGAGGCCCTCGCTCTGCCTTTCTTTCGGCCAGTCTTTTTAAAGGACTTGATTTTGAAAAAGTGCGTGTATTATTTTTCATTTTCCGGAAGCAAACAGAGCCATAGTGGAGCTCTAGCGCTGGACAAGGGCGGTTGACTGGTTTAAGAAAACTTGTTCAAGTTATATTAGTGTGGTGTGTTTGGTTTTTTTTTAATATTCTAATTAGTTTAGGCGATCCTAAGACGTGCGGGCATACATCTGAAATCGCTCGACCTTTCTGGCATTGTACATTTCATGGACGATAAGGCTCTAGAGATCATTGCTGCCAGTTGTCCGTTGCTGGAAGAGGTGTCGAAATTCTGAAAAAAGTTTAACATCTAAGTGTTACTTATCTTTATCTGGTGAATTAATTTGTTTTCCATCCTTTTTTAGTTGAATCTTACCGGTCTTCAAGCGTCATGGGAATCTCTTAGCGATTTGGGCGAATCGCTGTCGAATCTGAAAAAGCTGACATATCGGGATATGGAGAGCGCAGGAGAAAAGGTTATTATTATTCTAGGAAGAAGAAAAGAATTTACTAGCCATTTGAAGAATGGCTATAGAAGGACTTTGACATTTCGGAAAAAAAAACGGAAACATATAAAAGAGGTAGACATGTTCAAAAATCAAATTATAGCGGGCAGTTTTTTCTTACTTATCAAGTGAGGATGTTCGTATTGATTCCGATTTATGAGAACATCTCACTCAATACGTAATACTTAAATATTAGGTATTCTTAAAGAATCATTTGGTGTTCAGGAAAATTTCTGTTTGGTTGATAGTTTTCTGGTTGGGAAGATCCTTCCGTTGAGCTTCCAGGTGCCGAATCTAGAACTAGAACTTCATAAAATCGTCCCTACAACATTTTTATATTCTTCAATCGAAGTCACAATGGCTAAACCAGCAAAAGTCCGAAAAAATGGAGATTATACTAAGGTCCACTCAACCAGTGAGTACGGGCCATCCAAGTATCCAAGTTTGTAAGTAACTCTAAGGTCCACTGATATATGTAATGGTGAAAGCCACAAATGTTAAACGTATTTTAAAAATGAGTTTATTGTTTGACACCAGCGGAGATGTGATACATTTTATAGAACTTGACATAATATGTTTATTAACCATTAATCTTCTTTTTTTTGTTAAAAGCGTTGACTTTCTGTTAGTTGTTAGCCATCACCGTTGTTAATTACTGTGAATTTTAAACTCGCGGATTTGCAGGCGTTCTGGTTCCTCATCAAGGGATGTGGTCGCTCTTTACATTTTCTCGATTTACGTGGATGTCGTCGTCTACATGGCAGATGTTTCCGATTATTTGGTGATCAATTAGAACAGGTTCGTTTTTAGTAACACTCTCCGTTCTGAGCTAACTCCTGGTATGACAGCAATTTAGCTTTACTTGGATGGTTGTTCGCAAGTGGATGAGATGGCACTAGAAGATCTGTGTACTACTGCCATAGGCCTGAAAGAGCTACGAATCAATGACTGTTATAAGATTTCTGACGGAAATATCAGGTAAGTAGCTGTTAAATACTTGCATCACTTTCATGATAGCGACGGGAATTTGAAAGTTGTAGTTTTTTGAACAGCACATGCAGAAAGTAGTGAAAATTGTTCTTAAGCCGTTTTTCTCTGTAACAAGGCATCACCTGTAATAAATCTCGTCCTTTTGGCTGTTGTACTTGATTATGTCTTGGTTGACTGATAGGCTTACATGAAGTTTTTGCAAATCTTTATTGTGGCTAACGTTTCGCTGGTATCATCTTCAAATCTACATCGCTCCGAGTTCAGCGTCCACAACAGGTGTTTCCTTTTGTGATGTGGATTGATTTTGCTTTAACTTCAGCATGGGTAACTAACATTCTGGGTTATTAGTAAGGTGATTCAAGGTTGTTACAATTTTTACTTGTCGGCAGCGTTCCGTCGTCATTGTCAAGTTGTTATGGAGGTTGTGAATGATCATTTTTCTTGACCTCACTTAGAGTAGAGCACTGATTATGTAGTTTATGATCGCTTCATTATTAACCAAGCCGGAGATTTATCTTGTGTTGTTAACGGTTAGATGAATTGATATCTTGTACTCTGGTGATACTTCAGTGTTTTTTTATCATGTGGATATTCCCCATTCTTATAAATCTTTTTCAAATCCCTACGTGATTACAAGGCTCTCCTTGGTCAGTTCAGTTTTGTTGAAAATGAGTCCAGTAAAGAACTTCTAAGCGACAGGTATTTTGCAGATGGGGTATAACTTCCTATTGTAGTTTAGGACTTTTATTTTGTTAAGAGATGTGGTTCTTCGTAGTTTCCAATGATTTAGAATTATGGTTTGTAGTACTTCACATTGACGTAATCAGGAAATAGAGAGGTATCGTGAAGGCGTTGAATGGACATGTAGTAATTGGTTGCTAGCGACAATATAGACTCACTGACGTCGTGGACGCGTCAGCGCTACTCTTTTTTAGCAACCTTTATACGTAGAAGTTGTCGTATTGTTGTGTGGGCTTGGCTGCGGCTTGTGAGTCTGTTTCTTTTTCTTTAACTGACATATGGGGTGAAGCGCTTTTCATCTGATGCTATTTTGACTCATTTGCTATGGAACGTCTGGAAAACTAGCATAGACATTTAAGGGCCGTTTTGTTAAAGTGTTATCGTCCATGTGATTTTTGCAGCATGATCTCTCGCTTGCTATCGGAGTTACGAGTGATCACATTGTGTGGAGATCGTTTCGAAAAGCTGTCTACATATGGAATTGCTCACATCAGTAACATGACATCGCTAGTGGAACTAGCGTAAGTTTGTTTTGTGGAAGTCATTCGAGCCCACTTTTTTTCATTTTCTATGTCGTATTCGGTATAATGATGCCTTTTCTTTAAGAATGTATGGACTTTATTTTCCCCTTCATGTAATCATTCAATGGTTTAGCGTGGTAAAATTCAATGCTTGTATTTTGACCTAAGCACCTGGCAGGGTGTTGTTTGTACCTGAGAAATTGTTCATTTGATTGAGAGTTTCGAAACATATCTTTGTCTAGGGAAATCGCTCAATTGCTTTTAGGTTTGCTTCTAGGTTTAAAGGAGCATACAGGATGGCCGAGGCGATGTTTGAGATCTAGAGAGTAATAAAATGGGTTACAACTCTTTTTACCTGATATGAATCGAATCTCTAGCCGAAAACCAGCTAATATGTCAGAGGATTATACGAGAGGTGTCTTGGGATTACTTTCGAGAAATGAGTTCCATCTACACGTTACGGCAACCCTTTAGGTTACCAGTAGATAGTGCCCACTTGAAGAGAGAGCATTGAGAGCTATTCAGAAATGCAGTGGTGCAGGTGGTTTTACGTTACATAGTTGTTGCGTAGCTACGAATTAACACAATGGTTAGGAAACCATATCACCAGTGGTACTCTGATGAGCATAGTTTTTTCGAAGAAAAGGACGTTTTTTGCATCGTTTTAATGTGCACTTCCGTATCTATATGTCACATTGGTTTTAATTTATGTTTGATCTATGAAACAGCTTATTGAGACCAGCTTATGGACTTGTATTGTTTTGTTTCTGTAAAGAAATTATCTCAATTAGGTGTTTCTGGGTATTCGACTGCGTTGTACAGCGGGGGTATTCGTCCACCAGCAGGGTCTCCCAAGCCGAGAAAGAGTTTGGCGTTTCCATAATGAAGCACAACTAAGAGTAAACAAATACCACCACCTTCCTCGTATCAAATTAGTCGCATGTTGGGAAGTCTGCTTCTGATCCACAAGGACGACGACTGCCTGTGGTGGTGACAACCCACGGCAGACTTTGGCCAGGCTATTGGCGTTCCACTTCACGGCGAAAATTCTATGTCCATTGTAGTTGTCGAATACATATTTTCAGTCTGGACCAAAACCCTCTGGTGAATGATTCGTTTCTGATTTCGATTGGAAAGAGTCTAAGCAACCTTAAAACGCTCAGTCTTGCAAATGCTGGATCAGATCAAGCGATTAGCGGAAAAGGAATCATGGCCATAGCACAATTCAAAGCTCTTGAACAGGTATGGTTTTCTATTCTTATATTCGTTTCAGGAGCAGTTTTCGTAGTGATTTAAGGTGCTTTGCAACACGCACAAGGTCAGAAAGGTTAGCAGAGCTGATTTGATAAATCGGTGCGGTGCACCACCGCAGTTTCTTGTATAGACAAGGTACTCAGTCGTATCTGCGATGGTTAATAAAGTCGAATTCACGAAGCATCCACCAGGGATTAGTCATCCGCAAACATCTTATTCGTGTTCCGTTGATCCAGTAGAAATCTCCATAACCTTCATTTTTTCCTTTGTTTTGTTTTATTTGGAACTTACGTTGTTTTCGCACTGTCACACATGCTTACTATAGTTTTTTCCTGCGCCTTACCTATTTGAAGGTTTGATCCATTGATCTCGCTTTGAAATATTTCTTGAAGACGTTCTCATATTGAATTGAAGAGCCCTTCTCGTTAACCTATATCACTCCGTTTGGACACTGGTATTCACATTCAGTTTAGCGGGTGCCAGAGTTTTTTTACTGCATTATTTGTATTCATTCGATAGCTAATCGGAAGCGGATCGAAATGCTAAGGGTGAGAGCAGAAAACTATTCTCTATGAACCATGGATTACGAAAACCCATTTTTCGTAAGAGTTTATTGACCGGCCATTTGACTAACAATTAGCCGTTTTTTCATTTTGATCGCTATAGTCATTGTATAGAACGTGTGGGTACAAAAGACACCGAAATAGACTCAACGTAGGGTGCGAAACACTTCAAAGATGCAATAATACACTTGAATAGTGGACCATAGTAACATGCAGTAAATAATAGCATACATATCATTTATCCCATGGAACGATAGGGCTAAGTATCTTCTACAATTCCATCGTGTTCGAAGTCCTTAAGGCTCTTTAGTTTCTCAAAATTTATTCTCTATTGTCAAAAAAACCAGAAGGTCTACAGCCAACGGAAAATTGCTTGCTGTAATCGGTTGGACCAACTACAACATGCAGTAGGGGAGCGTTATGGGATAATAGAAGTTTTTAGAAGTGTTCATGAATGGCATATGCTGTTTTTACAGTACAATATTTGGCTATGAATACCCACATGTTACCATAGGGGAATGGTTTGTTTTTTTTTACCTTTTTTATTGTCTTCTCAAACTACCATAGTGCTTCGCTTGACCGATTTTCTATTAACATTGGCATTTATTAATAATTCACTGTTTTCTTTATGAAGTGACACTAGTTTCTCATTATATTATTTGTTCATAATAGCTGACGTAGTGGCGATTTTGTCTTCTTCAAGGTCTTGGAAAGGTCAAGTTTGTTGCGATCTAGTCATCTAAATGCCTTTATAATTTCTGCTGAGAAACAGCGAAACCCAAAGTTCAATAGTACTGATGGCAAAACAGTTCTACTTAACTTGGGTTTCGTTGTTTTTCAGTCGAGGTTATAAAGGAAAAACAGGACAATGTCTTCACACACTGTTAACATAGTGCTCATCTTCAAAGTGATTTGATGGTTAGAAATCACTATTCTCCTTCAAATTCTACCTTTCTGTTTGAAAAGCACTGTTGTTATTTATCGAATGGTATGATATTTCAGCTTGACCTTTCGTCGCTTGCAGCCGTTCGCTCGGGGATCTTGCTTGAAGTGGTGTACTCGTGTAGATCACTATCACTTCTTCAGTTAAGAAACTGTGTCTACTTGTCGGATGATGGAGTGAAGGGAATAGCTAGAGCTGAAAATATTCGACATCTTGACTTAAGTGGTTCAATTTTGGTGAGTTTGTGTATCATTAAATCACAAAAGCAGGTGGTCATTTGTATCACCCACACTGCTCTAATTAGTGATTTGAACAGACCCCAATAGAGCTTCTGTTTTTCTATTTGAGTTGCTGAATGAATATCGCGGTTTTCATGTGACCTTTTGTTATGAACATACTAGCTACGACGACTATTTCCTGGTGCAAATGGCATGAGATAGTGACTAATTTTATTTTCTCTCGCATATTTTCCAATATCAAAACTGTTTGGTGAGTTGTGAACTCGACAGGACTTATAATTTTCTTTATCGCTGTAGAGATACACAGGTTTTCTAAAATCTCTTCTTAGTTTTTAATTTGTTTAGAGTCCAGACGTTGAGCAAGTTAAAAACGAGGTTCAAATTACCAGCGAAGCATCAGGAAAAACCATTTTGTATTGCTGCGAGAAATTTCGATTAGTCTAGTTTCTCCGTATAGAAGCTTCATCATGCGTTTTATGGCTTCGGAAAAACGGGATTTCTGTTACTGTATGTTAAAAAGACATCTCTTTTTATGAAGGATCTATAGATTCTTATGTTTACCTGAATTAACAGAACAATTCTTTCCACTTCTGTTCAGCAAACACGAGGTGCCATTCCACTTCCCCACTCACGTAAAAGCTGACGTTTCGGCGGATTTCGCCTTCCTCAGAGTCGCTTTCTATGAGTCTTCCACTGAGTATGTCGTGTGAAGACCAACCGCACAGAATTCACATAGAAGCGTAATGCGTAGCGTACATTCATTATCATTGTCGTTGGCTCTGAAGAAGGCGAAATCCGCCGAAACGTCAGCTTTCACGTGAGTGGGGAAGTGGAATAGCACCTCGTGTTTGCTGAACAGAAGTGGAAAGAATTGTTCAATCAATGCCGAGGTTAATAGAAAGTCGGACATGTGAATTAACAGAGTTGGACATGAGGTGAGCTATGCTTGTTTGGAGTTGAGAGGCACAATTGTTTTCGGTTTTATATTAGTGTGCATCAATTCATATTGGCCAGTCTCTCCACTTACGATTTGGGACCAATTCGCGTCGTTGCAAATGCGGTTTTGAGGAATTTACAACTAGTTAGGTTATATTGTTGAGCTGATTTTTATGACACCACGCTTAACAGGAGTCTTTCTTAAAGTGACGATTGAGTTTTTTGTTGCAAGCGTTTTTTCTTGTTTTTTATGGCGATAAATCCTACCATGGTTTATATTTTCAGTAATTTCTGCCTTAAATTCGCAAACGTCGAAAAATTTTTGCCGTCCTTAGTGTTTTCTTTTTTCTCTAAATTCATCATTTTAGATCACCAACGATTCGGTTCAGGAATTCATCAGGGCGTTTCCACACGATGACAAGGTATCCATTTATCTGCTATGAAGTGTTTAATACTTGGATCTGAGTTTTATGTGGAAAACATATACTGGTGGTATAGTAAGTGGAAGGATAAACAGAAATGTAAAACGCTGACCGTCTGAGATCCTTGAGAATTCTGATATGTTTGTATCTAGAGCAGGAGAACAGAAGAAAAAAAAACCTCATCTAAATCACAATTTTTCCTTTTCCAAATAGGAAACGTATTGAGTGGCAATCTTGGGTACCTTTTGTTAAGAAGCAGATAGTCAGAAATTTGCATATGGTGGTACAAAATTTGGAGCTTCCATATAAACCCTCGGAAATTGGAATATTTTGGGCTGTTCTTCCCATTTTAGTCTTTGGTGTGTCCAAATGCTTGGGTATTCAATTAATAAGCAAGTATAATTTTTAACAATGAGTGCATTTAGCTGATTTGTCCGGTATAGATTAACTTCGACACCAGAATCACTCCATTATATTCTTTCGATTTAGAAAAGCGCTGTGACAATTGTGGTAGGCGGGACAGCTATCGACGCTTCACAACTGTCAGTACGAAACAGTCGTGTAATCGTCGATTTTAGCGATTATACCTCATTACTCGCAATGCCGAATAGGCAAATTAGATCCTTTGGAATAAGCGTAGGTATGTTGTGTCGCAAGGTCAATCATTAATGAAAGCGTGAATATTCAGGAGATTTATCGTAATATTTCAGGGACAAAATCTGACGATGACTATTCCGACGACGAGTTTGAAAGCCTCACAACTCATCGTAAGTCTTGTCAAGGTTTAGAAATAATTTCACTAGATGTGTTAACAAAACCGGGTAAGCTACGACATAAGATGCGCTTTAAAAGTTACTATTGATCATTGGTTATCCCTCTAAATGTTTAGGTATAGTTTTGTATATAGTTTATAATAGTTCAAATGCTCCGAATGGATTATTTCTGAAGGCTCATTCTACATCGATGCTGTATGCGGTGAAGAGGACCCGCCTATAAAAGATGAACACGAACTGCTACGATGGGCAGAGCGAGAAGCACGAATTCTTGGACTGCTGGGGAAGTAGTTTTTTTGTAGCTCTGTTGTAGTTGGCGAGTTTTAACAGTCAGGCACACTACCATTGTATAATCTCAAATCTCTTCATAAGATATCCTTATTCGTAGGAAACTAGTCATTTTAGTGATTTTTAGAGCAACAATAGGATTGTCATTTTCTTTAAAGTGGGCACGTATGTAAATCAGTTAACCAGAGCATTTCGATAACTAGTAACATCTAGTGCTTCCGTAACGACTAGAATTCCTAACTACTTTTGAATTGTTGCTTTACAATTTGAAGCCCTCAAGGATTCTCTTTGAGAATTTTCTCATCAATTTTATGGCTTTACAATGTTTCTTAAAGTACTTACAGATTTGTAACATTAAATTGCAAAACTTTGTAGCATAAAGAATCCCTGGGATATTGCGTGGCTGCTTTTGCCTTCATTGTTTTACATAGTTCAGTGGTTGTACGGGTGCCAGCACAATTTGCATTCTCTGGAGATTTGCTGGCTTAGCCATCGCGGTCCCCTGGTGTCCCGAAGCTAGCCCAGTCGAAACCGTGCTCAGGCCGTCACCACCACAGGTAGTCGCCACCCTTGTGGATAAAAGGGAGATTTCCTACCATGCGACTAGTTTGACACCAGGATGGTGATGATTCCTGGTATTGGTTTACTCTTATCTGGGCTTCAGGATGGACACGTCGGACTGTTTTTTACCTTTTGGGAGGCCGTGCTGGAGATGTGAACATCCCGCTCAACATCACAATCCGGCACCCAGGAAAACCTCCCAGCCACGATGAGGCGTTAAACCGTTGGGAGATATACGTGATCTAGAATTGAAATATTCTACATAATCAGGGTTGGAATGGGATGAAACATGGATGGTCTTTATATTACTATAATGTTGTAGATTGTAGCTTTTAGGGCGACTTTTCCTTGTCAATAATGAGCGTAACCCGAATATTTAGAATTGCGTAGCACTCACATTAACGATGGCTGATTAGGTTTAGTGCTAGGTTCAAGTTTTTCTGTTATTGCGTTCTTGTTATTGTTTATGTTGTATCCCTTACAATTCTTTTGTATGAAGCAGTTCTTCGACTTACGTAAAACGAAATCTTTTCATATTCCTAGTTTGCCTAATCTATGTATTATGCTCTTACTTCTTTTACAAGTGGTGACTCCATCTAGTCGATACCCACACGATCTTTCCACTTTACCGTTATTTTCTAACATTTCTCAGAGTAAGTAGGAGTGTTCTGTGGTAGGATCCGATCCTCGTGCTTTATCAGCGTGATTTCAAAAATTGTGCATAATCGATTGTTATGTGTCATACCGACGATGTACTATTTATAGTAACCGGTATGTATAAAACAGTTATTTAGTTTTATTAAGGAAACAAAAAATTTAGTACAAAGTAAAAACAGTGGTGTCTCTATCCGGTCATTATGTGATAGGACCTTGATTGGAATTCTTTTCACAAAGGATTCAACTTAGAGGCTACAAGAAATCAATAAAAATCTGCTTTAAATGTAATTGATTAAGTATTTATTGAAGATTTTCTTGACTGGAATCTACTGTGGTGTTCATGAGGTAAAACCCGTTGGGTAAAACTAGAGGAAGAACTGATAATAATTAGATAGACGAAATTGTGACTATATCATACCACTAGAAGTATCACCACAACAGCATATCATGATGTACATGGAGAGGATAAGTTCTGAACGATAGAGATGAAATGCCTTTTGAGGGTGGAGGGGTGTTGTTGCTAAACAACAATGACATATGACGACGACAAGATGAGAACGACTTCATATATGAGATCAAAGAAATTAAATAAAATTCGGCTTTTATTTCATAGCGTCGAGCCTTGGACTATGTAACAAGTGGTACAACTGAAGGCTACTTAGTGTGTGGTCCATTAGGTTATTATTTTTTCAGATATCTTTAATTTGAACAAGGTAGTGGCAGTACGAACACGACCACCATTTCATCAAAACAGTACTATCAATGCAGTTCCTTTGTGGGAAGCGTATGACAATGACGATTGACTAACATGTGGCCATGTAGAAAGTACGAACGGCGACGGTGTTCTGTAGTTATCATGACGGTGTGATTTTTTCGTTGAATCGAAATGTTTGCGGTAAACCCATCTTCTTTGCCACCTCTTTGTAGGCAGGTGTGTGCACGAAACGGGAGAAGCAATCCTGAATTTCAGTATTAGTCGTAAATCATTGAAATCTGAAGTGTGCTTACTCGAACATCAAGAACAAAACGATAAGGTGTAAAGCGTTCGGTCTCCATTAACCACTTAGGAGTTCGCTATGGACTGGATTCCATTTCTGGGATGGTAGAGGTGATTGAGTGGATATGAGTGCCATGCATTTGACTTACGGTAGCCTACCTGATCTGTCATCATTTCAGCATCTTTTATTCTATGCGACAAATTTGGTGCTAAATTACCGATCCAGAAGGATAAGGGGACTTGGTTTGCTCGTGACGTGGAGCTGAACCAAAAATCCCGTGTGTGGTGGAGCACTTCTAACCTCTGCGCTATATGCGATGATGTCAGTAATTATTGTGAAACCTCGTTATCAGCGTAATACCCGTTCAAGCATTTGCACTGGTACGTTAGATGTTTCTCATAGTTATTTCTCCTAAAGATGTCTGATTTTAGACAATTATTTAACTAGACCGTTCTATGCTAATAAATAGAGTGTTTATCAACGGATGCCCCGCGCTTGTCTTGTCTTGTTACTGGACGTATTAAAGGATATCAGAGACCACATGGTGTGTGGAAGAACATCTAGGAACGATACTAGGCCACTTGAAGAAGATCGCCCATCGGGGGACGCTATGCGTTAATAAGTTTGCCAACTGGCCCCTATATTGTTACAGCCGAACCAAAACGTGTTCATAGAACTTGACAACAACACAACAGTAAATGGGAAAATTGAGAAATTGAATTTGAAAATGGAGGCGATCACTCCCTTCTTCTTCCCCGTTTGCTGTCCTTGGTGAGTAGGGTGATTCAACGTTGGTGGAGATGTGAACTATCGATAACATACCGACTTTTCTACCAGTTCGGAATTAATGGCAACTCCTCAGAGCGGTTTAAATGACTTGAAATTTATTTTTTACTAGCCTGTCCATGGATGGTTTCTTCATACAAATCGAGGAAATCAGCTTCATTGCATACGAACCTGAGTTTCCTTTTGAAAACGGGCCTTTCTGCTAATGCTAAAAATCTGCCCTCACTGAACACTTCAACCTCCGGTGTCCACTGTAGTCATACCACCTCAATAAAAAAGTACTACAAAATCCAATAAAATTTTTGGTTTTTGAACCTGAGCTCATTCTCCGTATTTTTCTCTTTTAATTAACGAGATCCTCCCAACGGTTTACCGCCTCATCGTGGCTGAGAGATGTTCCTGGGTGTCGGACTGCGATGTACAACAGAGGATTCATCGCGTGGCAAGGTCTCCCAAGCTGAGAAGTCCGGCGTTTCCATCAGGAAGCCTAGCTAAGAGTAAACCAATACCAGATTCCATCACCGTCCTGGTATCAAAGTCGCATGGTGGCAAATTTTCCGCCGATTCACAAAGGCTGCAACTGCCTGTGGTGGTGAAGACCTGGGGCAGACTTTGACCAGGCTGTCCTCGGGACTGCAGGCAACCACAATTGCTTAACCAGCAAGTCTACGAAGGATGGAGATTATGCTGGGGCTCGCACAACCAGTGAGGATGGACCACTCAAGTGTCAAGTATGTCAATTAACGAGATGATACCACACGAGATACCGAGAATGCCGTGTATCATCCGGACTCCTACCGTCACTGGAGAAGCATTATGCAGGAAGTCATGATATACTGACATTCGTATTCAAATGTTGCTTGTTTACCCTCTTCCTTAGGGTTTTCGCATCTGTGCACTTGTTGTCGAAGCGAAAAATCCTCTTTAGGTTCGTGATAATGACGTCACAACTTTATGAATTTCTTTCATCGCCTACAAACTGTGGTAAACATAGACGTCATTAAAAGGCTTCAATAGTGATATTAAATGCTGTAATGAAGAACAAAAAATGCACATGTCCGTGCGGCAAAATATTCGTAAAAGACGTCACGTTACTAGATGAAGCCAACAATTAATCGGATTTTCAGTGGCTTCCACGTAAAGGCTAAAGAGACAGAACCCTCAATCTTTATCAATGTTTTAATGGTCGTCGGAGTCGATTCATTAGATTAGTGGTGATTAAATGCATATTCTTCCACACTTAGTCACTTCAGAATGGGCGCGTGTAGCGCAGTGGTTAGAGGCGCCCTGCAACACACATGAGATCGCTCTCGGGCCCCCACGCTTATTAGGCTTTCCATCCCCAGGGTCGAGAAATTGGTACCAGTCCTGTCTGAGAGGATACCAGCACTCACTCCAGATATCGGCAGGAGAGTACTGAAAGTCATTGTATAGGTCAAATATGCATCAACCACCTCTAACGATGCATGCTTAATGAAGTCGAATGCATGGAGCATGCCTCGGTGATTGGTCCACGCCGAGAGCTCCATTCTTTCAATGATTTCCGATGATCTACCGATAGTTGGTGCTTTTTTTTTTAACATTCCAGGGCGGTTAAGTAATGATTTTCTGATCCCAGAAATGGAAGCTTGTTTTACTCTGCAGTGCGGCAAGCGGCCAATAACTATGTGCGTCATTGAGGACCTCTACGTCTTAATTTATATAAATTTTCATTTAATCATAAAATTAAGGATAAAGCTCTCAGCGTTGATCAATCCCTGAGCCATGCATTCGACTTCATTAAGCATCGTTTGGAGGGGATTTAACGCACATCTCGCCCTTAGAATGGCTCGCGGTGGCCTACCGATGTATCGACCCAGTGGCGCAATCCTCGCAGACAAGTGTGGTAACAATTTGCCGACTCTGAAGGGATGAAGGACTAAGTGGGCCATAAGCGCGAGTGTCGATTCCACGTGTGTATTGGAGGGCAACTCCGACCACTGTGCCACACGTGCCCACACTTATTCATAGGAAACTACAATCTCCAACCACAGCAACGTTGATAAAATAATATAGAAAGTACTAGATATTGGAGTCTGGCAGCATTTGTATATTCATATCTACTTTTTACACATTTGTTAAAAAAAGTGCTATTATGTTGCAGCAAATAGACGAGGGTCGTTCTCCACTACGTTCAGTGAGAACGCGAACAAAAAGAAAAGAAAGAAATGAAATAAGCTTGAAAATTTCTAATTCGCCCAATTATAACATAAATGAAAACATAAATTGGAAAAATGTATGAAGTTCATAGCGAACTAAGAATCTGATATATTAAGACCGACCTTTTCCATCAGCCGATAGACATGAGCCTGTGCCCGTTCGTAAATGTTATTCGGGAATGATGAAGGATCTTGATTCTCAACTCTGAAATACACAATTTTATTTTTCAGTTCAAATTTTGATATGAAAAACAATTTCTCAGCATTAAGCAATGTTATCGCTTGACGCTTTTTGCGGATATGGATGAGTTTGATCGGCTACGTAGCAAGCTTCCCTTTCATTCAGAAGGGATGGATCCCGTAATCAAGGCTAGGAATACGCTGGCGTGACCACCCCAAAACTCTAAAGATTTCCATCCCATCTTCAAGGACACTCGAGCAACGATAACGAGTAGTCTGCAAACCCTCAAGTTATAACCGAATTCACCTCCGGAGCCGACCATATCCATGGAATAAAGCCAATGATGCGAATGGAAGAAGTGTTGCAGTGGAGTATAGCAAAAAGCTACCAAGACTACTTTGACAAAATGACTGACTTTTAGAAAGAAATGATTTCAAATAAGAACGTAACTGATTGTTTTTTTTCTTTTAAAGGAGATAACGGTTAATGGATGGAACACGTTAAGTTGAAAATATAGCGCCGGTCGCATTTTCCATGCTTTAAACTCCTTCGTTAAATGCTCCTCTATCTTCCTTTCCGTATGCCCTTCTATCTTTACCTGTTTATTACACTTTCAAATACTCAAAAACAAAATGATTCCTTTTGTTTGCTTCAGCTCGACTAGAAGTTTTATTCTTTTTGAATTTTTAGGATTTTCCCTGATGGCACATAGCCCTTAGTTCAGTAAGAGAGTTTACTCGTATAGGAGGCTTTCTATAGTGCACACTCAATAGCGACACTCAACATGATTTCTGTTACACTAACTAAAGTGTAAAACGCGATATTACACAGAATCGTCCTCACAATCTTTAACTTTTTATTTACTGCCTATTATCGAACGTGGCATGAGGCTCACTTTTTGTAAACATCTCAGCATCATGGAGCCGTCACTGTTAGGCTTTCAGCTGGATATTGTTGTACGACTCATCCTGGGAAACTTCTGAAGGCTTGAGCTCGACAGAAATGCAAACGCAGCGCTCATCGGTTCAGAAGGCATACACTTGCTTTACTGTGCATCGATTATTCCTTCTGAGGCCAGATGAACTAGTTGTGAGCCCATTATTACCAATTGTCTAAGCTCCTAGAGAAAACGTAGATAAGAAAATGCGAATAAAGTTGAAACCTTCCTCAAAGTTGTGGTAGTTTTTTTCATTTTTTTTTTGATGAAATCACATCAAAAAATGGGATACGAAGCCTAAAAGCAAGGTTAACTGAGTTGCCAGAAGCAAGAACTAGTGAGCCGCTAAAGTACGAAAGGATTATCGTAGTGGCCTGAATAAGAGCTTATGCCTTCATTAAATCTTTTCTCATCTTATTTAGTAAAGCACGAAAAAGTTTCAAAACTTCAGTATTACATTAGAGAAATTTAGTGAAAAAGAAGCGTGTTTAGGCTGCTTAGCTTCCGCACATAAATTGATTTAATAAGGAAGAAAGATAGCTTTCATTGACTACTTATAAAAAAATATCTTAGCAATTCTAGAATGACAATAAGTCAACACATCACCCTCAGTACGTTGCACGAACAAATCGAAAGAATAGCTACGTCCTGGGAGAACTCTACTCGCAACGCACCACGCCTTTCTCCACGATTAAGTTGTTCAGAAATTGAGGCTGGATTTGTAGTTTTGTTTTTCTTTCATGTGTTCCAATAGTAATTTTGTTCGAATGCTGTGCAATCAGTGTAAAACTTATTTCGTGCATTCCTCGTTCGGAATAATTGAAATATAATATAAATTGAAGGGTGCGTGTGGCGCAGTGGTCGGAGGCGATCTGCAACACAAACGTGGAATCGATCCCTGCGCCTATGGCCCACTAAGCCTTCCATCCGTCCAGGGTCAGCAGTTTAGAACCAGACTTGTCCGGGAAGATAGCGGCACTGGCTCGATACATCGGTAGGCCACTACGAGTCATGGTATACGCAGTTATGCATTCAATGACCTGCAAACGATGCTTATCGAAGTTGAATGCGTGGTGCATCCCTCAGAGATTGATCCACGCTCAGAGTTTTACCCTTTAGCTTTATAATATAAATTTTATTTATGGCAAATTTTAAGGACTGAAATTTCAGGTGTGAAAACAGATATTTTGACATGGATAGTTCTACGAATTCAAACTCGGGTGTCCACAAATAGTCCGAAACATTAATAAGATATCTCAAAAGGGAATAAGATATCTGAAAAGGGCGACAAAGTCTTGGAATATTAATGAGATTAGGAGCCAAGAAAGTGTTAAAAAAATCCATAGTGCAAAATTGGCTTAAAAATTTTGTCGTGGCTAAATTGACGTTGAAGATGAGGATGGTCGCGTGCATCTTGCTATTGAGGACGACCACTTGAAGGGTTTGGTGGTAGCAAATGCAAGCAGAACTATTCAAGAACGTGCAAATGAATTCGGTTAAGACGCCTCAGATGTTCCTTAGCATGTAAGAAAAATTGGAATGCACATCGTAGGAATTGGGAACACTTCGCACAATCGACGCTGTAAAGGTTGAACGAGTTAGGCAAAGCAACTCCGCATCACCTAACATACTCGCAGGACCCTTCTTCTATCGCCTAGCGCTCCTTTAAATATCTTGGCATTTCCTATATGAGAAATGCTTCAGAAACCAAACCGAAACCGAAGCTGCATTCAATAAATTAATCGCCTCTAGAGCTAAAGAGTTTTAAGCAACTGGAATAAGTAAACTGGTTTCTTTTTTGTAATAATGGGTGAATTCTAATGGCTTTTTTCTGATTAATAAAGTTTATTCTAAAATTAGATATGCCATTTTAATTGGATTGGGTGGAATTCTTGCATTAGCCACCTAATGGAAGGGCCAGCAGCTTCCTGTACAGAGTAGCTCCGAAGACATTAGTAGATTACTATGGCATTGTAGGAAAAATCACGTTGAATTAGCACTGAAAATGTCGTGAGAAATTCACAAATCCTCATGTTCTACCCGAGCCCAAACAGAGGAAGGTGATTAGCTCTGCTGGTGATGGTAGCAGGACACAAGAAAAAAGAAATATAGCTAATTGAACCCCATGTAGGGTGGACTACTTCGGTTCCAGGTAGCAACAAACTGTTCCGATTTTTTGACTAACAGTTAGAGAGTTAGCATCCATGAAACATAACCATAGTCCAGCTATCTGGCGTTGAGTTATGACGAAATGTTACAAAAGAACAAAATCGGTTTAGTATTTCAGGATAAAATTTGCACACCGACATTAGCATAGGGCCCTTTTTGGACTTCCGTGTTTCTTTCTTTTTCAAGCACCCATTGGTTTTTTTCCCTAATTTCGCTGAATACCGCTTCGTAATAATTGTTTGATAGGCTCAGTGATAGCTTATCCATTTCATCGTTGATTCGAGACCATTCCAGATTTACAGGAAGAATGCTTCATCGATTATTAAGTGTGTGCCGAAAACCTTTTTTCACTAATCCACTCATATTTTTATCAAATTACCTCGGTGGTCAGCGCTTTATCATGAGCTCTCTACCCGGAACTTCTTCTCCCCAATACTTCTTCATATCATTTTAAAAATCCCTTTAAAATACAGTATTTAGGAAGGCCTTTATCAATGAGCCGTCTTCTCTTCCAAACATTTGAAGTGTTCTGTAGCTAATGCTAGGAATTTCAATAGTCTACGTACTACCGCATTCCAGTAGTTCTATCGGCAGATCAACCTGTTATAGAAGCCTTATGGAACTGAGGTCAGTAAATCAAACGAACCGATCCATAATATCAGTCCGTGTATCATGATCGATATTAATTGCCAGCGGACTTTCAGAGGCGATAAACGTCTCGAACATCTCCAACACGGTTCGCTCGAATTCATGTCGTGAATCCGATGCACAGACTGCTTTCAGTTCTTCGACAGCCCACCTTAAAACGAATTACGGTATTTGAAGGATTCGATGACAAGTGAGCACTTGTGCTGAAGAGTTTTTGTTAAAATATTCACAATTCAGAGCTAAAAATGGTTATGGTTTTCTGGCTTCTTATTGCTGGCAATATGCTTGAAGTAGACTTAATTCATTGAATTAATTGACCGACTTCAAAACGACAGCCGAATATCTTTTATCAACCTCTTGTCAGCTTATCAGTGAAAGAATACATGTTAATTGACTGGGTTACGCTGTCTCATTATTTTGCTAGTGATAAATTCCATCAGAGAAGATTCGAGAAAAAAATTCTTACTGGAATTACTTGACTTTTTATGAAATGTTCGGACTAGAGAATGAGAAAGAAAATGATCTGAAATGAAGTCATCAGCTTCAGACACAAAGTTAAACTTATAAAAATTCAAGTATGTAGAATTTTTCCTCATTGAGAATGTCGAAGAGAGAATCCATGACCAGTCAAAAAAAACGTCATGAGATCCAGAAAATCTAATCAAAGAAAATGTCTTGGAAGACAACTTTTTTGCCCTCTGGTAGTTAATGAGAGGACTTGATACTTGATACTTAAACAGCCCATCCTCACTGGTTATGCGGGTCTCAGCAAATTCACCATTTTTCGGAGATTTGGTGGTTAAGTCATTGTCGTTCCCTGGAATCCAGAGGTCGGTCTGGCCAAAGTTTGCCTCAGGCCTTCACCACTATAGGCAGTCGCAACCCTTTGTGGATCAGAGGGAGATTTACCACCATGTGACTTTGATTCCAGGACGGTGGTGGATTCTGGTATTGCTTTACTCTTAGCCAGGCATCCTGCTGGAAACGCCAAACTCTTTCTCGGCTTGGGAGACCTTGTCAGGGGACGAATCCTTCCGGTGTACATCGCAGTCCCACACCCAAGAACACGTCCCACCCACGATGAGGTGGTAAATCGTTGGAAGGGTTAATGAGAGTTAAATGTCAAAAATACTATTATAATTTGCTAATAATGCTCTAAGAAGCTTGTATTTCCGATTCTCTTCTGAAATGAAAGGGTTTTTCACAGAAAATGATCAACAGCGCTAAGAAGTCACTTGACATGGCGCGCACATCGAAATTCTAACCAAAAATCGCAAAAACACGATCTAGAGAGGATTTTTGGCAAAAGCCATCCAAAATTCCAATGATCTTAATATTGAACTAGTAGTGCAAACTTATAGGATAACTAAACCGGGACTAGAATTCCATGATTGACATGGTGTATTTTTTCACAATGAGTTATGAAGGGCATGGTTGAAAGCAAGTACAATCATTGCATGCCACAGTCGTCTACTTACACAGTAGAGCAAATTATGAGGTTTAAGTGACTGACCAGAATAGTATATTTTCCTCGGAATACTCGGACTGAAGGAATTTTGTAAATTGGGCCCGCCCATCAGGATCCGATATGACGTGGTCGAAAGCGAACTGCCACTCATTTGGACTGAAATCGAAATGATCTATTCGATGTTAAATGCTGTCAGAGGCTGAAAATATTCTAGAGCTTTTTTATGTGATTATTAAGCATTGAAGTATATGGTGTTCAACGTCGATCATTCTTTTGAGGATACAGCGCCCATACAAAAGGCATCGTTTAGGTATTTGTGAGGATAATCGCCCTAGACCATAACTTGAGAGGTATTCTTATATATCAACTCAGTATTTTTCATTTTCTCAGACAAGTATAGTAATAATTTTTCAATCGCGGAGTGATAAGTCGAGTGATTTGTTAGACCACGAGCTGGAATTGAACCGAGGACCACGCACGTTTGGTAGGACATCTATAATCACTGAGAACGCACGTCCTTAGGTCTGTTATTTCTTAGGTAAGACGAAACTTCTAAGGTTTACTATTCTCTAAAAGGTACAATTCTATCCACACACATAATACTTTTGAGAACTACCTATTCGTAGTCTGTAGATTTTCCTCGATAACCACTATCATATTCTACCATTCACATGTTGTTGCTTTTTATAACGCTCATGTTTTTTCTATAAAAAAGAATAGAGCCCAAAGCGTTGATCAGTCCCTGAGAGATGCGCCATGCATTCGACTTCATTAAGCATCGTTGGAGGTAACTGAATGCATATCTGGCTTTTGCAATGACTCACGGTGGTCTAGCGATGTATCAAGCCAGAACCGTTATCCTCCCACAAAAAGTCCGGTCTCAGTTCTCTGACCCTGGTGGAATAGAACGCTAGGTGGGCCAGGGGCACGGGAATCAATCCCTTGTGTGTGTTACAATGCGCCTTCGACCATTGCCCCAAATGCGTTCTTATTGCCTTGTAGAAGGTGTAATCGTCTTTGTACAACTTTTCCATGACTACATAGAATGTGCACAATGTTCTCGTCATAGCTTTATGTCGTGTGGACGGCAAATATTATCGAAACTGGCATGGATCCATACCTTTTCAACCACAAACATTACATTGATATCTATAATGGTCAAAGGAGTCTACAACGTATGATCCGAGGAACATTTCCTCTACCTTATCGTAAACGGCGTTTAGTAGGCGGTGCTTTATCATGTTGAAAGTACTATGAAGCCTTGATTAGTCCTTCTAGCCTTCATTATCAGGCCCTCTAAACAATGTTTAGATTCCAGAGTGTATTGAAAGTAGGGATCGTCATCGTAGTAGTTCGTGATGTATTCAGCCTGTTGTGTTCACAGAAATCTTGGTCATGAGCAAACTTATTTTTCTGTTTTGCTCAAACCCAGCAAAAGTTTGACGAGCTGTGTCGTAGGTTCTGGGTACAGTACCAGTGGTTTGACAAACTCACCCAAAGTACATGAATACTGATTTGTTGAAGCCAACTATTATCATCCTCCCGACTATTACCAACCAAGGAGAGGAGGACCTGGTTAACCAGGATAAAGGATTAAAAAGGATAAAGCTCTCGGCTTTGATCAATCTCTGAGGGATGCTCCAGGCATTCGATTTCATTAAGCATCGTTTGGAGGTGACTGAATGCATATCTGGCCTTTACAATGACTCGCAATTGCCTTCTGATGCATCGAGCTGGTGCTGCTATCCCCAGACAAAGTCTGGTATCAGCTTGCCGACCTCGGAGGGGATGGAAGTCTTGGTGGGCCATTAGCGCTAGAATCAACTCCACGTGTGTGTTGCAGGGCGCCTACGACCACTCCGCCATACGCGCCCGTGTTTTTTCTGTGATAATGAAAATTACTAGGTTTTGTCGATGATATTGAATGTACAATCAGAGGATGGTTAGTGGACGGAAACTAAATTCAAAATCTTAGCGCTCCTTCTTCCATATTATTCGCATTGCTGGCGTAGGACTGTCATGTGGTGTTCAGGAAAAACTTGCAGTACGTCTGTCCGAATGGCATCGATTTCCAGTGTTCAGCTATTATCGTCCAGTGATCGAGCGAAGCGGATTTCGTAGTGAACACTATTTGAGGAGTACTGCATCTCCAGCAGTAGCAATTTGTGGTTAACCAAGCAGAAAATGATTGGGCGCAGTTTTTTTTATTACATATATCACTGAAGTGATATTTTCTTTTTCAAGATCAAAGAACCAGTAGCAAACTTTCTTACCGGTAAAATATTCCACTCAATTGAATTCGGAGTGCATGGTTTAAAAAAGACAAAAGAAGTTACCGAAGACCACAAAGTGACCACAAGCATTTCATCGTAACAGAAAGAGGCCATCCTATAACTTTGCTCGCACACTTCCACATTTCTCTCCATAAGCCCTTTAACATTTTGATGGCTCAGTATGGTAATGAAGTTCTAAACCAAGGTCTCGCCCCTCTAGATACCCAGGGCTGCCCAGTGTACCCTGCTTCCCAAGGAATACAAAAAGGATCACGATTTTTGTACGTAGCCCTCTATTTTCACCACTCTCGTCTATAAAGCACTTAGAGGCAGTTTCCTGAGGTTTGATTAAATTTCCCAGGCTTTTTTTTTAATGATGACGTCTCTCTTCCGTCGAGTATTTAGGCGACACAAGCTTCCGTGTACTCCCTGTTAACTGATTGTGAGGTTTTCACCGAGTCGACGGATGGAAAGGAAATAATCCGTAAATTAGGGTTGTCAACCAAATTCATTTATGTCGCAAGAGTGAGTAGATTACTTAAGGTGAATGAGTTATTCTCGAAGAGGAACAGAATGACGAATTTTATTAAAACCGCTGTTCTCGTCATATTCCATTAACAATTACTCCACTCTTTGTCGAGTTTCATAGACAAAGACGTTATTACTCTTAGCTGAAAGTTTCTTCTGTTGTTGCTCTATGTTAATCCTAGGCAAATTTCCAGATACTCACCCCAAGTTTTTCTGGGCGGAAAGGTAAGTGTGGGGGGTATGGGGCTAGGCTTGGCATATAGTCTGTATAAGAATCGTTGCGCAGTGGAAGAATCCTACTCGTAAGACAGCAAAGCCTCGTTGCTTTAGAAGGCTCCTTTAGTGCTTTTTAAGTCGACAAGTATTGGCGAAAAGCCAAATAAATGTTAGTACGGCTAGATTTTTAAGGAAAAACTATGTTAAACTGGAATTTAATATGTCGATTCGTCATGAAGGGGTTCAAAGTCCGCCGCACAAACCATACACAAATCCCTCAACCCTCTATGAACTGCAGCTGCCAGGCAACGATATAAATGGAATAAGTTCTGGAATCGGCAAAACATCTCAGAACGGGTCATTTAATGTCTAATTTTCCGTTTCCCTCTGAAGATTCCAGTTTTCGCACCTTAATCGTGGCGATGATGATTGTTGAACTGCCTGACCGGTGCCATTTTCAGTTGAACGCGGTCGTCGGTCACCTTTAAAGAGAAAAAAAAGTGATGGAACTCAGTGAAAAAATTAAAAAAACGGTACCCCTTAAATTTGCAATGAATGTCGTAGAGCGAAGGTAATTTCACGATAATTATAGCCTTCTCAACAAAAAATGTGCCGACGTTTTTTTTAAGTCGAATTTGTTCATAAAACTAGTAAAGGATTAGAAACAAGGAAAAAAACCACACAGACAGTTTCCAAAGTCTTCTAAGTTGTGGTTCATTTTGTTTTACTTGTATTTAATACTGGTAGTTATTACGATGTGAAGAGCGCGTGTGGCGCAGTGCTCGGAGGCGTCTGGCAACACATACGTGGGATCGATCCTCGAGCACATAGCCCACCAAGCTTTCCACCTCTCCAGGTCGGCAAATTGATACCAGACTTGCCTGGTAGGGTAGCAGCATTGGCTCGATACATCGGTAAGTCACCGAGAGTCATTGCAAAGACCAGACATACATCTAATCACCTCCAAACGATGCTTAATGATGTCGAATGCATATCGCATCCCTCAGGGATTGAACAACTCCGAGACCTTTGTTCTTATTTCATTTATTATGATGTTTTATAGAACTTTAATAAAGCACATATGTCTCATGGTCCATTTTTATCTTCCTGTATTTTCATAAGTTTCTAGTAATGTACGTTATTATCTACGCATTTTACCAATTATTAAATTTCAGAGAGAAAAAGTTTAGACTAAAACAAAATAAGATCTCAAAAAGAACTAATACTTTCATGTGTTAAACAATTTATGGCATTGTCATTACCTTTACATAACTGATTGAGTTTTCGTGGTGAACGCATGCCAAGGAGTAAACATCGTCACCAACATCACCACGCCCACTCGCCCACTTGCCAACCCCTTCCACTTGTTCAACACCGATTACCCATGGGCAGCGGTGTCATAAATGGTCGTTGGTATGGTTGAGGCAACAAACATCAAGTGATGTTATCACAACAAGGAATGTTATCGTGAAAAAAAAACCTCTGCTCTAAAGCTTTCGGCATTGATCAATCACGGAGGCATGTGCTATGCATTCGGCTTCATTACGCAACAATAGAGGCGATTGAATGCATATTTGGACTACACAATGATACGCGGTGGGCTACCGATGTACCGAGTCAGTGTTGCTATTTTCTTAGACAGGTCTGGTACTGCCGTACCCGTAAAGATGGAAGGCTCAGTGAGCATGGGGCGTGGGATCGATCCCATGTGCATTGCAGACGCCTCTAACTACTACGGTACTCACGCCATTGAGAGACACATTACCACCGTGAAATACATCTACACAAAACCCTTTGTTTGCTTGAAGGTTTGTGGTCTTGCCAAATCTTCCGCCCACCAACTAAGACCATATTGAATTTAAATCTTACCCTAGGAAATGTTATAAAGAGCCCCCCAAATTTGTAGAACTTTTTTCACAGCTTCTGAAAACTTTGTGTGGCGAACTTAACAAATTATGACCACATCTGACCATTTATTACCTTATGCAGAAAGTATGTTCTAAGATCGTGAATTCCTCATGGGAAATATGAGCTCATGGGTACTCTATTGAAGCAGTTATTTTAATCTACTGCAAATAATAGTGACCAACTCAGGTGGCTACAGCTTCATCATGACGGGGTGACATGACTTTCTTAAT